CATCTTAAGACAACAGGTAACTGGCTCTAACATCGCTGTTTTGGGGGAAATGAAGCTTAGCCTCTTCAGTCAACCGGGAGGGAGGAGAAAGCTGGAGACTAAGCTACTTTTTAATTTTCAGTGCTACAATAACAAAAAGACAAAAATAGAAAAATAAACACCTTTTTCCTTGTCTCAAACTAGCGATGAAACCTGCCTGGAAAGAGGGGCGGACTGTTTTCTGTAAGTATCTCTTCGGAGAAGCAATTGAAACATTGCCTAGAATTTCCTATTACTTGAGGACGGCTAAATATTTCTAGATGATCGTTCCATTCATGTACAATTAATTTTGAAAGCTTTTCTACTACTAGTAAATTGCCTACGATTTTCTGAAGTTTCACGTACTTTTCACATTTCACAGCCCAGGTTAGGCTACTTTTCGTACAAAGGAGGGGGACTACAAAGGAAACCTAAAATTATCGAATTCAAAAATGTGATGGAGGGAGATATCACAAAAATTAATTAATTAAGAACCTGGGTTTTAAGAACCTGTTAGACTAAAATTTTCGTTTTAAGCCCCCTCCTCGTAATAACCTAGTAAGGCTAAAATTTTAAGTTAGGTTCTTATCAGTGGAACTGGTTATGAATGTACTGTATTTGTCCCAAGATTTTCTTGGTATCAACTTTGAAATGGCATTTTAGAGAACTGTCTATGAGTTTGTTTGTTATCTTTTGTTAAGGGCATATCTGCACTGTACTGCCTTTGGGCATTACTGTATGGTATAAATGATTTATATTGTATTATGAGATGATATTTATAATATATTTAACTGAAATTCATACGAAAATATAAGAACCTATTTTAAGAACCTTGGTAGTCTAAATTTGCTTTAAGTACCATTTATATAAGAACCTGTTAAGGCTAAATTAAAAATCCATGGGTGTCCCTGCCAGATGTTGTATTTAAGTTTGTAACCAGTTTATCCGTGATAAGTCTTTTGCTAATGGATGCATGATCTGCAGACCAAATCTAACTTAAGAAGCAGGAAGTTGGTTAAGTCGGTGGTAATGCGAGAGGAATAAACAGGGAAGCCACCGTTACCAGAGACTTTCCGGAGGCTTTCGTACACTCGGTCAAGCACAAATACTAGTTCCGATATGAGAAACCTCTACCAATGTGTTTAAGTAACTCCGAGTACTGCTCTAAATTAGAGGAGCTTTCTGACGTGCACTACTGAGATAATCTTATAAGATGGTAGCTATTTGATCCTTTAACACAGACTCAACACGATATCTTTCCGAAAACTCAACAAACGAATCAAGTGTTCACTTCAGTTTTTGGTACTTTAGACATTTTTAGTTAGCAAGATAAACATAGCGGTTTATATTTTTTTCTATAACTATATTTTGGCTGAATGCTTAAGAAGGTAGAGAAATACATCTTGACCCTGAGTAGGACGCGTATTGATCAGCTCGCAGCCAAAAACCAAACCGTGCTGTGGCGACAGTTTCCTGATAATAAAAGTCTCTTTTTCTAATTTACAGTTGGTTAAAAGCGAAGCCTATATAGTTTGATAACCCCTGACAAAGTGACCCCAAACGAAACTACAGCACATGGCCAGAATTCGGCAAAAAATGTTCTAACTTGAAACTAGTATTATTTACATTTTTTTTCTTTGTATGCAACACCATCTCATGCGTGAATACTAATACAAATAAACATTGAAATCATTGAAAAAACAGATAGTTCCAAGCTGAAGGATAGCTTTCTCAGTGGACTCAAAAGTTGGAATTCCCGGTAGAACTTCATATACTCTGATGATGATGACAATCTGGCTAATTCTCAATATCGCAGATATCGGGTCAATATGCTTGACTAGCATACTGTACATGTATTAGAAGAAGAATAGGGTTCAAACATTTTTACACGGATACAGTTCAGCCATAGCTCTCAAGAATTGTCAAAGAAATAATTCCCTTTCGTGGTGGAGTGAAACTCTCCGTGATGAAACCAAATGCCTTTTGTGCTAAAACAAAAATTGAAAGCAGGAAATTCTGCTAAAGTTGTTTGTTACTCGATCACACCGGAAAACCGCAATTGACGTCAATAGTCTGCGACGACCTCGCCGCAGGAAACCGAGCGAGCCACGAGACTTCCGAGAACACAACGAAAAGACACGAAAACAAAACATACTGGAAGTGACGGCAGCGATCCACTACGACCCAAATAATTACACAGCTTTTTACGAAATATGTAGATTTTTTTACGACAGATCGAGCATCGCCTCGGCGCAGAGACTCGCCTGTTCACCCTAGACCCTCCATTTTCTCTTTGGTAATCGTCAAGAACGCGTAGAAAAATAAAAACGGTGGGGATTTATCGACTTCAAACGCAAAACCTGAAAGAAAATAACGTCTGTGTGCTGGCTACTGAGCGAGAAGGGAGATAGTAACTTCATAATCGGCCTAAATGTGCGATGATCATGTACAGTAGCATTCAACTTTGCCGGCGATTCGTTTAGAAGAGGGTTTATTTGTGTCAAAATCTTTCCACTCCGGCAGTTTTAACTGAATTGGCCTAATGCTATTTACGGCACGCACCTTTAGCTCTCCTTCAATGCGATGACAACTCAATCACCAAATAGGGTTTGACACTCCTGAACTTTCAAGAAAATACTCAGTTTCTATTAGAAGTATACGCACCAGCAAACGACGGAAACACAACATCGAACTCATTTCGGTCTGAAACAGTTACAGATACATCATACTGATAGATCGGGGCTTATATGGAAAGACACGTTCTTTTCTATTGTGATACTGAAACCAGCGCTGTGAAGTGTGTTATTTTTGGACGGAGTGTTGGCCTTTCCACTTGACCCCTGGGCGACGCCCAGTGAAGCTGTGTTCTTGTTTTAGAACATTTAGTTTGTAAACAGTCTAATATCTCAGTCCATCGGAAATTGTCAATGACCTTTCTTTATCGGCGCACCATCGGCAAGCTTCGGCTCCGCCTACGAAGTTGATACTCGAAAACCCCCTACAATGATATCGGCTTTCGACATTCCGATGTCATCTACGGTTTCCTGCCGAGGAATTTCGATCATCTGTCGGCCTCCCGAGTAGGTAAAACGATAGCAAGCGATGGTAAGGATTTGGCATTTTGGGGTCAGTTATTAAAATTTTTCTCGTTCTTATCGTTCTGTGCTGAGAACCGTAACAACTCAGATAGTCCATCGGCACGAGCACCGTTTCCCTCCTTCTGTCCAGTTGACTCAAGATGACTTTTTTATCCAAATACGTGAGAGAGCCTTTCTCATTGCATTAAACCAAGATAAAAATTATTGGACTGAAAATATCGCACGAGGTAACCCCTAATACTTTGAGTCTTCGGAGTAAGATACGGTGGTGTTCAAATAAATAAAATTACTGATACTCTCAGATAGCAGGAGTTCCATTAACACGTGAATGAGGAGGTGTATTCCGGAAAGCATACGTGGACTAAACAAGCGGACTACAGCCCGATCTTTTGAAAAATTAATAAACAAACCCGTGGTTTAGCCACCTGGAAATTAACGAGAGGTTAAGTTGTTACAGTTACAATAAAGTAACGGATTATTGGCTCGTTACGCCTTTTTTAAGGCCTTGTAAGTCAGAAGGAGTGACCGCCGAAGGAAATGCAAATTATCTCAATGAACTCCGTAACTTCCTTTCTTGTGTTGGAAATTGTAAGGAATTAGAGTAGAGATAATATTCGCTCATTCCGTAACGGTGTATACACAGGAAAAAAATGTAAACAGCGGATAAATTTGGCGCAGTTTATTTTTATAGGGCTGGCCATGCTCAATACCCGGTCAATATGCATGGCAATATGTTTGGCTCTAATCGGCCTTTTGATTTATCCGGGTTGTATTCCCTAAAAAAGTAGAAAACATTTACCTTCCAGATTAAAAATGAAAAGCCAAAAAAATTATCAACATCAAGAGCCGATCTGATCCTGTCAACATACATATATTTAGAATGCTCTTTTATGGGATAAATTACAAATCTCTACTCAGTTAATTCCATAAGTTGATAAATCTAGCTAAGTCGGAACGAAAGCGTTTTATCGCAGCGACCCGACCTCTTAATATCACTCAATCGGGACTATTCAAAAGCATTACTACGTCACAGTCGTAAAAGGTCGCCACTTCCCGATTTGGTCATGTTTTCCGACGATGCGAGTCAAAACAATTATTTTCCCACGATCCGACAAACAACAAAATGTTTTGGATCAGTGACTTGATTATTGTTAACGATTGTCCTTAGACGTCCCCTAAGCATAATTTTTATTGTCATAGTGCGTTGAAATTCACTTTTTAGACCTGCTGAACGTTTAATCGAGGTGCATTTTGCTCGCGAGCACGGAAAATGAGATCGTTCGGAATAAGCAAAGTCACTAATGGAATGTAGATTCGTGGAATCTTCCAGCACGGAAGTCAAATTGTCACTCAAATGAGCTGAAATTACAACTTGCTATTGTGCTCAATGTATTTATTTTGCAGACAAAGGATTCATTTCAAATGTCAACTTTTTATAATCAAGTTGTTTTCATCGCTCAAAAGAATTACTGAGCCATCAAATTTCAGCCAATCAGAGCTCCCAAAGGTCACTAAAAATGACCCGCGGCGAATAATTACCCTCAATTGACGTCATCAAGAGGACAACTATAGAAATCCCTGGTCAGTGATTGGCTGAGACTCATTCCAGAGGGAATACGCATTGTTTTCGTCCAACCGCAAAGAGATTTGGTCACCTACACGCCTACATTTCCCATATTTGGTAACAAAGTAGTCGAACTATCTGAGTGAACGAGCATATAAGCAATGTCTTCGCTAGATTCAAATCATCATTAGATCGGAAACTGAACAGTTGGGTTAGAGTGCCCGTAGGAAAAGAAAAAGCCATAACAACGCGCCTACTCAATTATCTGATTACTCACAGCTGAGCAGCTAGCAGGGGCATTTTGAACCAATCAAGTGAAAATGGCTCTCGCAAGTTTACCAGTATCAGTTATTCAAGAGGCGAGGACAGTCATTGATGGTAGCAACTCCGAATGTGATTTAAACACCACTTTTGTTCGTCCATCGGTTTCAAGCGCGCAATTTTCATCCCAACCAAAACTGGACGATTGGCAGGTTAGTTGATCTGTTTAAATTAACGGGTAAATTACCGCGTTACAATAGAACACGAATTCCTTTAGTTTGGTTAAGAAATATTCTCGCGACAGCAAGTTGCGAACCCAAGTTACTCGAGCCCACTCATGCGTAACCCCTCACTCGATTTTAGTTGAATCAATTTTTCTTGCGGATTTTTTTATTCATAAACTGCGTGAAAAACTGCTCGTTAAAAATTAATGCGTTATCACGATGTGGACGATGTTTGGACAGAACCGATTAGACCCTGGCGATACTCAGAAGTTTAAATAATTCAATGATCAGCACGCTTGTTACAATAGAACGAGTTGTTTATCGCACTGATCATTAATTCCTCGCGTTAAGTTATAACATTCATTTCTTGAAGTCAGTTACACTTCGGATTGAACTTTTTGATTTCTTAAAGTGTTGCGCACGAGATTGAGCACTAAAATAAGTATTCATTGGTGGTGGAAGTTGGACAAAAAACATGGAAATTGGTGGCTTAAGACGGTACACGCACCAGTGCGCCATATTTGACAACTCGATATGTGAACTCTGTTTCATTGATTCTAACCTTCCATCTCTGTCTGTTGTTTTTCTTAGACTATGTGGGAAATGGAAAAATACCTAGCCTCATCTGCTTCGCCATTAACCATGAGCCCGCTCATTTCAAGAAAAAGAAAATTCCGCCGCGAGAGCGCCAACGTCGTCAATGACTTTTTTACGTTCGATGATGATTCGAACGATGACTGTGTGATTGTGGAGAATAACAACAACTCTCACCCGCTACCGTTGGTGCCAGAGAAGGTTTTCGTCACAGATGTGGACACATTCACGCTTGCTCCAGCGTTTTCGACCACTTCAGCAATCACAACCATCAGCTCAGTGCCTGCTGTTAGTGGCAATATGGCCATAACAAGTGACAATCGACCACACTACCATCAACTTAAAGTCGCTCAACCTCCACGCGACTACACTGTTATTTACCCACCAACGCCACCGAATTCTAACCCTGGATCTCCAGAGATGGTCACCCAACAGATTTATCTTGGACCCCTCGGCCCTCCACCGCCATATACCCCTCCAACAGTGATCTTGCCTCATCGAAGAGGCTCGCCCGAACTTCAACGTCGACGCATTCACCATTGCGAACATCCAGGCTGTAAAAAAGTGTATACGAAAAGTTCGCATCTCAAGGCTCATATGAGAACACATACGGGTGAAAAACCCTATAAATGTACCTGGGAAGGATGCGAGTGGAGGTTTGCTCGGTCAGATGAGCTGACAAGGCATTTTAGAAAACACACGGGAGCCAAACCGTTTAAATGTCAGTTCTGCGACAGAGCTTTCGCAAGATCAGATCATCTGGCTTTGCACATGAAAAGACATCAGCCGCAGCAGCAGTCGTAAGCGAAAATTAGAATATACGAACTTGGACACAACGGTAATAAGAGTGTTACACATTCTCACTCGTTATTTCACTGTAATTGTCATTAGAAAGGACATAGAAAGAAGGTCGTAAGTTTGGTCGTCACATAGATGACGTTCATAAGCCCTTGTCTCCCAAAGGCAAAGTGAAGGCAGAAATCAGTCACGAAGAACAGATTTCGGACGTTTACTTGAAAAAAATTAAAATAACATCAAAGATATGTTAGCTTTTTCTCGAGTAGTCACGTATTTGAAGTTAGAATTCCAATCTAACGAAAGAGATGATTTCACCAAAATTCACTTCTGCCTTTAATACTGAGGGACCAAGGAGTATGAACAGTGAAAGATCAAGCCTCAGTGAAACGATTTTTCTTATTCTAAATGTGGTAAATGTCCATGTTTTGAACTTCACCGTTTTTGTTGTAAAAGACGCATCGACGAAACGTCAGCTTAACCATTTAAGTACAGAAATCAGATTAATGTTTGGTGTTTTTAACTATCTGTACTTTGTACAAAGATGTGAACTTCGGTCCCATCAGTCAGTCTGTCATGACTCAAGAACATTCACAAAAGAACAAAAAACGCCATGAAATATGTTTTGCGATAAAGAAAAATGTATATATAATGTTTGTCAAAAGAAAAAGAGAGATGTATTTTTATGTAATGGAATTTAGAGGTTATATTTATATGATACTTTGTTATTTTATTCAGAAGATGAAAAGTCTATCAAATAAATGAAAAAGAACAGCTGGAATTTTATCTTTTGTGTGAATTCATTTGAAACGGATATATTTTGGCGGCTGTTAGGCTTTTGTTGAGATATTAATTGGGGTAGGAAAATAACGAAAGCACATAAATCGCTCGCTCGTCCCTGCCAACTTGTCAATGGGTAATGTCTTTCACAAAAGCGTCCAACTTTCGTTTTCCTGGAGTCGTCTGGGATTTTGATTGTTCAATGCTTTGGAAAGACTTTCTGGGCGCAAATGACCACTCTTATTGCCCAATAACCTTGTTCAGTTACTCTTCTAAATAAGAGTGTAACGCTGGCATGACGGTTGCTATGTGAAACTTGTATCAAGGCAATAGCACGATAATCTCGGCTTTGATTTGGTTCGTTTTCATTACAAAGAATTCAGAAGACACAGACTCGTGTTTCCACTGAATTTTAAGCTTACATACAGAACATACAGTCATAGTTTCTAAATTTGTGTTGCTAAATAAGCCAATACATTAAATTCCATAGATCTTCCAGTAATTTTTGCCGACAGAATGCTTATGAAGGTTATTCTTTTTCGGAGGCAAACCTGTCAAAATAACGGAGAGAAATATCCAAGAATCAACTTATATTTACAGTTAGGGTAGCTTTATATGACCAACCATGCGTTTGTTTTTCACCTTACAGACAAAATGCTTACAACTAAAAACAATCAAAGTTAGGTAGGCGGTAGGCCACAATATCCTAGAAACGGGTGCGGTGAATCTAATAAAACTTCGGGCGATCAATATGAACAAGTAATGAGATAAATATTTTAGCCGTGGAGACCTGGTTGTGACGTTGCACAAGGTAACGGCCACCAAATTCAGAAGCTTTCACAAGCTGGCAAACCGTCTGTGCTAGCTATTTAGTTTGATAAGTTCATTATCAGCGTTCATTTTGTTAAACTACCATTTCCTTTTATGTTGATAACCAACAGACTGATAAAAATACATCATGTCATTGACTGGGTCATAGGAAGCGGAAATGTAAACTTACTGATATCCATGATTCACATCTGCCGAACAAAAAGAAAGAAATACAGGGGCACCCAACGAGGATATAGTTCAAAACCACTTAACATCGCATTGTTGGACGTATTTTAGTATTCAAACGGTAGATATAGGCATATTTTTATCCCCTAAAAACTTTTCATCTGTTCGGATTTCCTAGCTGAAAATCCAGTGATCCGAAAATTATAGGGATAAAAACTTACCTTCTCGAAAATTTCAGCCAGGAAAAGGCTCCCGAAAATTCTAGGTGGCCTTTTTTAGGGCAAAAATCCGTTAAAAATGAGTAATTATACCATTTTCTAGGTGTTCGAAAATCCTGATATCCAAGCAAGATTTTATCAAATGCCGAAAAAAAATCGTCTTCCGAACAGATATTTTCTTGCCGTATAAACAAAACTTGCAAGACAGAAATATCCGTTTTGCTCTACCTCGTTACCAGTCTTCGCCGCGCATCAGAAGGCCTGGCCTCTGCGATTGAGAGAACTAACTGAGCCTCAAGCCCTGGAGGGGTATAGAAAGAAATACAGGGGGTTCCGCTAGGAGATTTTAACCAGTATCCTTTTGTCCTACACCATCTGCTCAGTAAAATGGTAATCCCACAATAGCTACTATATACTTTTCCTTTTCTCAGTGGAATAGAAATATGAAATTAATCAGCACTGGTCGTGAAGTTGTTAATAAAATTTATTCAAACTGAAAAGAATACACACAACTACTGAAAGAAAATGCTGATTACTGCAGAAAATTTCACATGACCGGAGCAATTCTCGCGCATCTTTTTTGTCAAACCTAAAATAATCCCCCCTCCTCCCCTTTATCATTTGTCTCTCTGTTCGATTCGTAGGTACATGTGACCCTTTAAGATCGATTCCACCTGGCCGTTCTGCGTGTTTACAGTTATCAAATATAGATAACTGGTCATTGCGGCGAAAGCCTTGTAGCCCACAGTAAAGATTGTCACGTTACCTAACAACATCTCCATTCTAACGCAGCCTGTTTGTGTAAGGACACTGAATTTGATTTGCACGAATTTCAAATTCTAGAAGCCTTCAATTGATAGTGACAAATAGCAGCAAACGTTTAGCATGATAACATATGATGATGTATTTTCAGAGAGCTCATGATGTGAGAATGAGAATTCTCTCTTGGCTCCTAATCATTCATTGGGGGGGGGAGGGGGGGCGATGATTACTCCCGGAGGAATCCCCAGAGGGGGGCACTCCCTTCTTTGGCATGTCCCGCTGAACAAGGCCGGTATGATATTCATGGTCTCGAGTCTTAAACAGGGTATATAATTTCACTATTGAGCGTCTCAGTGAACAGGGTGTCTTTTTAGACCCGAAGCCTCTTAAACAGGGAGTGAATTCTGGCGGTGAGCGGTCTACGGGTGTAACGAAGTATGTTAAAATAATCTAATTTTGTTTTGTTTGAATGTGACTCCAAAACCCCTAAATATATTTTTCCCCCTTTTGTATTGTTGACTCTCTGGAGAGAAAATATCTCCTTAAACAGGGCATTTGGGCTACACTCTTAAACAGGGTCATGAAAAACAGTCTCTTGTTTTAAACAGAGTAGAAAAATGAACAGATTTTGTCTTAAACAGGGTCACGGTTTGAAGGCCTTTGCGGCTCACCCACGCTAAAACTGCCCTCAAGTACCCCCCCCCCCCCTTGGGGAAGGAATCATGGAAGACATAAGTCACGCATGATCTGTTAGTTTCTTCTGCCTGCGTCTAGCCACGAAGACCGCAGACATGTAGATTGCTTAATAGGCAATTTTTTTTTTCATTTCCGCGCACGCAGTTCCAGCTATGATCATACCAGTTAATGTGGTTTTGCGGTATATAGTCTATTTCATCTTTTAGTCATCCAAAGTCTATAAAACCTGGAATAATGAACAAAAAAATCAAGTTCCCTGAACTCCATACACATGTCTCGTCCTACGTCTGCATGATTCGTGATGTAGCTTATATGCCGGACCGGGAACTGTAATAATATTAGCTGGTATGTGCGGGAGTGAATTCGTCTTTCTGTTTAGCATGCGTATGCGTAGTTGGGGGAGAGGAGGGGTTAATTAACGGGAGAGTGCTTTAAAGTGTCTATCGAGTGCTGGCTTTGCCGCTCACTTTGCTGGGGCTCCGCCGCCAACAAAGTACCCCGGGCATAAGAATTCCGCCAGCTACGAGGCAGTACTTTCTGCTTTGGAAAGGTAAATGGAAACCACACTGACTGAGCAGTATTTTACATGTCCGGCTTCCCATTCCTTGATGTTTATTATGTTTGTTGAATCTGAGTATAAAGTACCTTGCGATATCGTGTGTCAGTTTGTTTCACCCTGATTCTATCACTATATCTTTAAAGTTCTCTCTTATTTTTCACCTTGAGGTACTGATATGTATTTAACGTTTTCAGTCTCCTAAACCAAGTCATGGTGAGATTATTTTTCACTCCAGGTCATTAAGATCTGTGGACGAAATTCTTTGATGCTGGTATTCAAGTGAAACTTCTTTCAAAACAACATTTGTGCTCCTGCATTTGTTTAAAACTACTATTTTTGGCTTGGGATTTTAGACCAAGAAATTTCACTAAATTTGAGGGGTTTTTTTCTGGACACTATAGCAAGCGAGAACATGCATCTCGCCACGTTTTTCTCCCGCCGTAGGCAACGAACATTCACGGATAGTTTAGCATCCCTATTATTACCAAGGATATTGAATAAGTGTGGTTTCGTTTTTTTCCCTTTACTCATATTATAGCCCACACACAGCAGCATTTATTTTTAGCACCATAATAGACATAATATATTTTACTCCCCTTGAAACAACTCGTGCAGTCCATGTAAGTTAAAGACTCTAGCACACAGATCCACACGGCACTATTTATACAAGATGGCGTCCTATAAGAGGTTACGTGTAAAGCCCACGGTATAAAATGTATGGAAGTCTGGTATGGCAGCTGTCCCAAGGCTACCTGATTGTACTCGAAGGAATGTACGTTTTTTTTAAGCTGTGCAAGTTCTGGTAGACGAAACAATAAACCAACTTCCTAATTCCGTAAGTCAAGGGGTGCTTATAACATCCCCGATCAATATGTTGACATAAACTTAAGGATCCTCGTCTTTATATCGACCCGACCGGCTCTTGGTCCCTCCATAACAATTTCTTCAAGTTCACCAAAGCTATGTATATAAATAATCCAAGAATTATTCCACTCTAT